CCACTGGGTTAGGGAATTAAAATAGTGGAACAGTATACAGGTAAATGTTTCCTTCTGTGCCTTTTATTACTATTATTTTTTAAGATTTTAAAACAGTGGAAGATTGGAATTAACTTTTTTGATTTACTTTTCCCTTTGGTTTGCTTTTTGGTTGTATAATTTACTTCATATACAGTATAATGCCTGGGACATATGACCTAGGTGCTCAATAAAAGTGATAACTAATGACATTCTAGCGCTGGTACAATGAGTATACTAGATCTACAAGGGAAGTATATAGTTTTCCATGAAATCAAGAATCTCATTATGTTTTGGAATCCATTTGGTTATTTCTTGTATTATAATTCTTTGTTGTTGTTTTTAGGTAAGTGAGGCACAGTATTGAACACAGGGAACACAAGAGTTGAATGAGGCAGAGATGGGCCTGCTGCCTTCATGGAGCTTAGAGTTTTCTTGTGGAGATAGATATTAAACAGGATAATGATTTACTTAGAGTTGTGACTAGTATTACCAAGGAAAAATACAATGTGGGACGAGCATGTAATGTAATATGGGATTCATACCTTGTCTATGTGGAAAAGTAACATTTAAGCTGAGACATACAGATTTGAGGCAGCAGTTAAGGGAGAGGTGTGTGTGTGTGTCTTGGAGTCAGAAGCAGGCATTAGGAATAGCCTGAGGCAACAAGCTGTGTGAGTAATTTAGGTGACTTGACTTAGCATATTTTAAAATTTTGCTAATTTGCAATGTTATATTGCTTTTTTAAAAATCACCTTACATATTTTAATGAATTCTGAAAAATAAACAATTTGTTTTGAGAGCCATATCTTTAAGTCTAGAAATAGCTTTGAATGACAGGGCCTAACTTCATCATATGGGAAAATGCCATGTCTTAAAACTATTTTATGGATTGCTTGTCAGCCACAGAGTATGAGTTGGCCAAGAATTTCTGTTAGAGAAAATTGAAATTACTGTAAGGCATTTAATCATTTACATATATTTTCTGGCCTAATGAAACTTTTCCAGTTGTTTGGAAATGTTAAGATTCTTTTTTTAGCCTGGTCAGTGTGGTTCAGTAGTTGAGTATCAGCCTATGAACCAGGAGGTCCCCATTCAGGGGTCATACCCAGGTTGCAGGCTTGATTCCCCGGAGGGTGTGGGGGAAGGTGGGAGCGTGCAGGAGGCAGCCAACCAATAATTCTCTCTCATCATTGATGTTTCTATCTCTCCCTCTCCCTTCCTCTCTGAAATCAACAACAACAAAAATATATAAAATAAGAGCCTTTAAGTGTTTTATTTAAGCTTTGATTTCCTCTTGTGTAAAATCCTTATATAATAAAAGGCTAATATGCAAATTGACCCTAACAGCAGAACAGCTGGTTGCTATGATGCGCACTGACAACCAGGGGGAAGACACTCAACGCAGGAGCCTCTCCTGCCTCCTCCGCAGCGCTAAGGATTTCCGAGGGCTCCCAGGCTGCCAGAGGGATGTCTGACTACCAACTTAGGCCCGTTCCCCTGGGGAACGGGCCTAAGCCGGCAGGTGGACATCCCTGAGGGGTCCTGGACTGCAAGAGGGTGCAGGCCAGGCTGAGGGACACCCCGCACCCCCCCACCCCCCAGTACACAGATTTTTTCGTGCACCCGGCCTCTAGTGTAGATTATAATATGCATCTCAAAAATATATTTTAAAAAATTCTTTTTTTAGGGTGTTCTTTCAAAACTTAATATTGAGGAGTTTTAAATTATGCTCCTCTTGAACTTGAAGCCTCAATTTTAGCAACTTGTTCTCTTGGGCCTGCTGTGTCACTGTTCAACTGATAAATCAGGGATGGATGTTTTTAAAGCTGTTTCACAGGATTTATGAGGAATATGAGGCATATTTATTTGATAATAGTGATCTTGATTAGAAAGAGCTTGGATCTGAAAGTTTTAAGTTCTGAAGCTGAGGTTTATATACCCAGAACATTATTTGGGTATTGTCTATTGCATTTTCTTATTTCTTAATTTCTTAATATATTTAATAGTAAAATGGTATTAAACTTGATTCCTTCTTTGTATAACTATTTTGAGAATTGTTAAATTTATATTGTTCTATATGCTTATAGTGAGCATTATGAATGTAAGTTATTCGTTAAATAATTTAAAACTCCTATATTCAAAGCAAGGTATGTGCTATTATAATTAGAAAGGATGGGAAAGGAGGCAGGACCATCTCTGTCTTATTCAGTTGGGGATCAAACCTACAACCTTGCAGTGTACAGGAGGACACTCCAACCAACTGAACCATACTGGCCAGGGCTCACCCAGTTCTTGACCACAGGGGTGATTGTGTTGGAATAAACTACACCCAAAGTTGTATAATCTCCATTCCTCAAATAACATCTTAAAATTGTATTTCCAGTTACTGAAGTGCTGTCTTATTTTCTTAAACTTTTTGTAAAATATATTTTTATTAATTTCAGAGAGGAAGGGAGAGGGAGAGAGAGAGAAAGAGAGAGAGAAACATCAATGATAAGAATCATTGATCGGCTGCCTCCTGCACGCCCCCTACTGGGGATCGAGCCCACAGCCCAGGCATGTGCCCTTGACTGGAATCGAACCAGGCCCTCTTCAGTCAGCAGGCGGATGCTCTATCCACTGAGCCAAACCAGCTGGGGCTTCTGAAACCTTTTATAAGTAACCATATCTGTTATTGTCCACGTGCACGGATCAGATATAGATTTAAATCCTAGATGACCTTGGGCAAGTCAGCCTTTCTGAATCTTAGTTTCCTTTGGGTTGTTATAAGGATTGTGACATTAATTGACAAGACATATGTAAAGAAGGATAAAATAGGTATGTAATTAGTGTTCCTTTTGTCTTTTCTGTAAGTTAACTTCAATGAATAATAAATATTTTGGACTCATTGCTGTGGGTGTTTTTATTTTCATTTTTTAACTTTTTTTTTTTCAGCGTAGAATAGTATGCAAGATGCTATTTATTTTGAAGCTTGAGAGCCTTCTACATTTGCCTTTCAGAGTTGCTCTTTTTCATTTAACTCAGTTGTTTGTAACAGTTGCTATTTTAAACACTTTGAATTAAGTGACTTTTTTGAGATGTGTTCTGTTGGGTGTGGTCATGTGATTTGTACATAACATAAAGTGTTCCTACAAGTTCTGAGAGCAGTGGTCACTTTTGGAACAGCTTGTATTTTTAGTTTTCTCTCAGTAAGTCAAGCTTACTTCAGCATGTGAGATGAACTTTGTCTGGTTGCAAAAAAGAAAGCTACAGCTGTTTTCACAATCTAATCCCTCAGCAAAGTTTGCCTTATTTTTTTTTTTTTTGGCCTTAATTCTTAATAAAGTTTCTTTTTGAATTTCTGCTTAATTTACAAATGTTTTTCACAATTAGTCTCTCATTTCTTCTAGTAGGTCTCTTTTAGCATGTCTGTTTTTAAGTTATAGGTCTGTCATTACCTATAAAATTTATAGAGTTAATATTCAGTGGTATATTCAGCTCATAATTTTTCATTTTTTTTTATAATTTTTAATTTTTAAACACAGTTTAGAAAATACAGTTTTGTTGATAAATGTGTGCCTCCCTCCCACCGCTGGCATCATTAAGCACCATAATATCAATTCATAATTCTTTTACTTGCTCAAGAAAAGCTCTACCAATTATTGGTAGATTTTTGTTATTTTAGTTTAGAAAATCAAACCTGAACTGGAGAAAAAGAAATAGCAATTTGGGGAGTAGTTTACATTAGACATCTGGAACCCAAATAGAGTTTATGTGAAAATATGTCAGAGAGCTAGCTTATGCACTAAAGTGAAGAAAATAGGCTAATATTCAGCATCTCATCCAGAAAATTATTATCCACAACTGTATAATTCAACTTGGAAATGTTGAGTTGAATTGCCTATGCCACATACACGTAGAGATGTATAATAAGTAATTAGCTGTAGAGATTTGAAGTTTGGAAGAGGGATCTGGGCAGGAGATATAGATGAGTTTTCAGAATATTGGTGGCAATTGATGCTTTTGAGAAATTGTAAACACCCAGGGGGAGAATGTATAGAAGAATGAGCAAGAAATTACATAGGTCCCTGAAGAATAGGAGTGTTTTAGAAGAAGAGTTTTTAAGAGGTAGGGGGGAAACCAGGGAAATGTGACATCATGAAAACTAAGAAAAAATAGCTTAAAAGGAGAAATTAGTCAACATCTATATAATAAAAGCCTAAGTGACTGTTATGGCAGAACGACCAGAATGACTGGTCGCTATGATGCGCACTGACCCCCAGACACTTAATGCAGGAGCTGCCCCCTGGTGGTCAGTGCGCTACCACAGGGGGAGTGCTGCTCAGCCAGAAGCCGGGCTCACGGCTGGCGAATGCAGCGGCGGTGGCGGGAGCCTCTCCTGCCTCCGCGGCAGCACTAAGGAGTAGCAAGCTGAGCGGTAAGGAGCAGCTAGCAGGCGGGTGGTAAGGTGCGAAGGGTCTTGGACTGCAAGAGGGCACAGGCCAGGCTGAGAGACCCCCCTACCCCACTCCCTCACTCCCTATGCACGAATTTTGTGCACCAGGCCTCTAAGTAATGATATAATGGCCAAGGAAGATGGGGTCTAGAAAAAACTGCCCTTTGGATTTAGCATTGAGCCTCTGAGTAGCACAGGTTTAATGAGTGGTGGTGAAAATAAAAGCCAGATTTATGCTTTGATTTACATTTTTTTTAAAAATATATTTTATTGATTTTTTACAGAGAGGAAGGGAGAGAGATAGAGAGTTAGAAACATCGATGAGAGAGAAACATCGATCAGCTGCCTCCTGCACATCTCCCACTGGGGATGTGCCCGCAACCCAGGTACATGCCCCTGACCGGGATCGAACCTGGGACCCTTCAGTCCGCAGGCCGACGCTCCATCCACTGAGCCAAACCGGTTTCGGCTGATTTACATTATTAAATAATTTTTAAAATTGGCCATTATTTTGTCTAAGTTATTTTTTTTTTTTTCATCTTAGCAACCAGAGCTGGACTGGCCATTATGGAGGAGGAGCTGCAGCATTCACACTGTGTGAATTGTGTCAGTAGACGGTGTATGACCAGACCAGAGCCTGGGATTTCCTGTGACTTGATTGGTTGTCCATTGGTTTGTGGCGCAGTCTTCCATTCTTGTAAAGCTGATGAGCATCGACTTTTATGTCCATTTGAACGAGTGCCTTGCTTAAATAGTGGCTTTGGATGTCCATTTACAATGGCTCGAAATAAAGTTGCTGAACATCTAGAAACATGCCCCGCAAGTGTGGTGTGCTGTACAATGGAATGGAACCGATGGCCAGTTAGTTATGCAGATCGGAAGTCATATGAAAATCTAAGCAGAGATGTTGATGAAGTGGCACAATTAGATATGGCCTTGGCCCTACAAGACCAAAGGATGCTCTTAGAATCTCTCAAAGTAGCCACCATGATGTCAAAAGCAACTGATAAAGTATCACAACCTAGAGAACAAATATCAGTTAAATCAACTGTTCCAGAGATACCACATGCTAATGGTTTGGTGTCTGTTGATGAAGAATCTTATGGTGCACTTTATCAAGCTACTGTAGAAACAACCAGAAGTTTGGCTGCTGCTTTAGATATCCTGAACACCGCCACAAGAGACATTGGCATGTTAAGTACGAATCTTCCTGCTTCCTCAAATGAAATGAACGAAGAGCAAAATGCCAGAGAAAGCTTACAGAATAGGAACTTGAAAGACCAAGACCATGTTTATGAGGATGAGATAGGAGCAGTAGGTGGAATTGACCATAACGATGCAAATCAGAATGCCCAATCTGAACAAAATGGCTCAAGTGATTTGTTATGTGACTTGGATACCAGTTCTTATGACACTTCTGCTCTTTGTAATGGCCTTCCTTTGGAAAATATATGTACACAGGTCATAGACCAGAATCAGAATTTACATGATGATTCTGGAGAAAGTAACTTAACAAATGGAGAATGTGTAGCATCAGATGGCACTTCAGAACCTTCCAATTCACTTTCAGTAGCAGCACAACTTAGGGAAGTAATACCACCTAATGCTTTGCCTAACGGCACAATTCAGCATATCCTCATGCCAGATGACGAGGATGAAGGAGAATTGTGTTGGAGAAAAGTAGACTTAGGAGACCTGAGGAATGTGGATGTCTTATCTTTCAGTCAACCTCCTTCATTCAAATTTCTTTCCAATTCATGTTGGTCTAAACCAAAGGAAGATAAAGCAGTAGATACATCAGATTTGGAAGTTGCAGAAGATCCAATGGGTCTCCAAGGAATAGATCTAATCACAGCAGCATTACTGTTTTGTCTAGGAGATTCTCCAGGTGGAAGGGGTATATCTGATAGTCGCATGGTTGATATTTATCACGTTGACTTTGGAACTCAGACTTTTTCACTCCCATCTGCAATATTAGCTACAAATACAATGGTTGGGGAAATAGCTTCAGCTTCAGCTTGTGATCATGCCAACCCACAGCTTTCAAATCCAAGTCCTTTTCAGACACTTGGGCTGGATTTAGTATTGGAATGTGTCGCTAGGTACCAACCCAAGCAGCGTTCAATGTTTACATTTGTTTGTGGACAGCTATTTAGAAGAAGAGAATTTTCTTCACATTTTAAGAATGTGCATGGTGACATTCATGCTGGACTCAATGGCTGGATGGAACAGAGGTGTCCTTTAGCATATTATGGCTGTACCTATTCTCAGCGTAGATTTTGTCCATCAACACAAGGAGCAAAGATTATACATGATCGCCATTTGAGGTCATTTGGAGTTCAGCCATGTGTATCTACAGTATTAGAAGAGCCTGCTAGAAACTGTGTGTTGGGATTACATAGTGACCATCTAAGTGGTCTTCCTTTTGAGGTTCTGCAACATATTGCAGGCTTTCTCGATGGCTTCAGTCTATGCCAGCTTTCATGTGTATCCAAGTTAATGAGGGATGTGTGTGGCAGCCTGCTTCAGTCTCGTGGAATGGTCATACTGCAGTGGGGAAAAAGGAAGTATCCAGAAGGAAATTCATCATGGCAGATAAAAGAAAAGGTCAGTTTAATTTTAATTGTATTATCTCCTTATTTGACATATAATAGGCACTTAATGTTGCTGAATTAATAAAAAATGTTTGATATAGATCATTCTTAAACCTTAACTCAATATGACAGATAGCTAGAATTGTCATAATCAATATTTACTGCAGACATCCGAGAACTAGATTCTAATCTTGTATGGCAGAGGCCACTTCTGTTTCTTTAATCAAGCAGTTTTGTATACATTTAGTTCTTCTGTAACAACTCCATTTGTGGCTATGTTAACCACCTTCTAATTTGGACTCCATCTGAAACATTTTCACCATAGGACAATGGGGGAAGCAAGAAGAAGGTTTTTTACTGCTTACAATTGGCATTTTCTTTCCATTCTTAGCAGTTTCTTTCTTAGGATTTGCTTGTTTCAGGTAGAACTTAAATAGGGAGAGATGAGAAAAAAGTTACTAGTTAAGTGATCAATTCAGTATTTGGGGGCAGGTGGACATAAATGGATGGATGTGGTTATGTATTAAAGTGAGATACGAGTAGGGGCAGTAGAATTTGATGTTTGTGGAGGGACTCTGGGTTTAGTACAGTAAAAGGGAGTGCTGCATATTGGAAGCTTGAGCTGGGATTTAGGTAGACCCAGGAATAAATCCTGGCTCCACCATTTTTCTCCTGTGACACCTATTTTTGCCCAGCTTTTTTTTTTTTTTTTAAATACGTTTTTATTGATTTAAGTGAGGAAGGGAGAGGGAGAGAGAGATAGAAACATCAACGATGAGAGAGAATCATTGATCAGCTGCCTCCTGCAGCCCCCCACTGGAGATCGAGCCCGCAACTGGTCATGTGCCCTGACTGGGAATTGAACAATGACCTCCTGGTTCATAGGTCGACGCTCAACCACTGGAGCACACCAGCTTCTTTTGGAGGCACAATCCAATAGAAACTAGCAGGTATTATAGATATCTTTGTAGGTGTTTTCATTTCAGAACTTCTATAATATGGAACCTTGCATTTTATAAAGTGGAGAAAAATTTGATAAATTTCACATTGGGGTTTGGCTACTTTGTTTTTACAATCTTTAGGTTTTCTCTTACTTCCACTCATTGCTCCAGTTTTCTGAATTCTACTACTTCTGTGTTCTCCTAAGGCAGAAACTTTATACTTTTAATACTTGCTGCATGTGTGTGTGTGTGTGTGTGTGTGTGTGTGTATTTTTTTTTTCATTTTCATTTTCCAGATGATTTGTTGTCTTTCTCCCATTTGGCATGGAACTCTGATATGGCCTCCTGGCTTCTTTTTTTCCTTGCCCACTGGTTTTGACCAATGAGGTGAAATATTTTCTGTAGTTCTAGTCCTGCAGAAAATCTACCTACTCTTGGAGTTTAAATTGCCATTATTTACTACTCACACATCTATGTCCTGGCCGTTGTCTTATTTCAACTCCACCAGACCATTATATACAGCCGTTTACTGGACATCTCCACTTGATTATTTCACAGCTTCATCAAACTCAGCATGTCCAACTTAATCCACTTCTCTTTCTCTCTTAATCTCATAAAGTGGCATTATCTTCTATCAAATTGCCTAGAGTAGGAATTTGAAAGTTAAGGTTGACTCCCATTTTCCCTCTTTATTTCCATATCCCAGTAATCACATATTGCTACAGCATCTTCCTTCTTCAGACTTACCAGGTTTGTTTTACTGTTTCCATGACCATTTCCCTAGTTCAGTCACACCTTTAGTTCTCTCCTGGAGTACTGCAATAGCCTCCTCCTAACTGGGTTTCTGGTTCCATTTGTGTCTCTCTTTAGCATATTCTTTGCAGAAGAACTAGAGGGACAAACATCGTCTTTATTTATTTATTTATTTATTAATATATTTTTATTGATTTTTTTACAGAGAGGAAGGGATAGGGATAGAGAGTTAGAAACAGTGATGAGAGAGAAACATCGATCAGCTGCCTCCTGCATACTCCCCACTGGGTATGTGCCCACAACCAAGGTACATGCCCTTGACTGGAATCGAACCTGGGACCCTTCAGTCTGCAGGCTGACGCTCTATCCACTGAGTCAAACCGGTTAGGGCAAAACATTGTTGTCTTAAATACAGTTCTTAAGCTGCAGTGCTTAAAAACTTTTTAAATGTTTATCCGTTGCCCTGGGATAGAGACTCCTTAATGAAACATTTAAGATTTTTTATAATCTTGTCCTTACTTACCTCTTCAGCTTTCTCTTATTACTCTCCGTTTCAGTCATGTTGATTTACTTGCAGTTGCCTGATGTTTTCTTTCTTGCCTAAGGCCTTTGAGCACTTGCAATATGCTGGACAGTGGGCTAATAAGCATTTTACTTTTGTTAGTTTATTTAATCTACTGTCCCTATTTTATGGAAGAAGAAATTGAGGTTTAGAGAGGTTCAGTAACTTGTCCAGCTAATCTATGGATTCAGACCTAGGGAACCTATCTCTGAAGTTTGTGATCTTCATATCCTTGCTATATCCTGCTTACTCTTCAGATCTTAGCTTCCTCAAATTAAGCCTTTTAGAACCCCACTCAGGAACGTTCTGCTCTGTGTCCTTGTGGTGTCCCATTAAATACCCCTCCTTTATATATATCCCTACTAAAGCACTCACCATGCTGTTTTGAAATTCACTAATAAATTGTCTGTTTCTTTCATTAGACTGTAAGTTCCTTGAGAAGTGAGGCTCTCTAGGAACCAACATATTCTACTGCCTAGCATTGCACCAGCCATATAGCTGGCACGAAGTACTTGAGAAATACTTGATTGAAAAATTGGCCCACTACTAAGAAACTTTGTCATCAGGAGGTGGGAGCCATCCATTTTTTCCTGAGTTTGTTTCACCAGACTCCAGCTATGTGGAAATAAGGAGGCTAACTTTAGCGTTCTGCTGAAGCTTAACAAAAACTCCTAATTCTTCCCATAGTATCATGAGTATGGGTAATTGTAATCTAGAATGCCTATTGGTAGTTACTCTCTAGAGCAGGGGTGGGGAACCTTTTTTCTGCCAAGGACCATTTGAACATTTATAACATCATTCGCAGGCCATACAAAATTATGAACTTAAAAATTAGCCTGCTATATTTGGTCAAACATTTAATTAACTCACCCCTAATGCCTTGACAGGGTCAGACCAAATGATTTCGTGGGCTTTATACGGCCTGTGAGCTGGACGTTCCCCACCCCTGCTCTAGAGTCTAAACCAGCAGTCACCAACTTTCCGGACCTTATGGACCACCAGTGGTCTGCGGACCACCGATTGGCGACTGCTGGTCTAAACCACTGACTCCAGGTAAATAACTCCATCTAGGGTAAATGATACATCCCTCAGGAGTATAGCAAGTAAGTACCTTGTGTGCTGAACAGTGGTAACTTCTATTGTCAACTAAAAAAGTAATTCTGTTTACACAGAATTTTGAAGGCATCTGGCCACTCCAGAAGTCATTACCATTCTTTCCTGAGCTCTACTGAGTTCTGAGGGCTTCCCTCAAATCTATTGCTACTTTCTAGAGTGTCTGCTGTTTTACCATTTATTCTGTGTTCTCTAACTAGACATTGCTTACTGATGAGCTTAGCTAGACTGTTTGGGCCTTGTCTAGTCCCATTCATGCCTGTACCTAGGTCTGTCCTGCTCCATATATGTTTATTACCCATGCTCAGGTAGTTGTTTTTTTTACTTGAGAAGATGCAAGGGGGCCACAACACTCATTGCTAGACTAATATGATGACAGTACTTCAGGGCTTGGAGCTGCTGAGTGGCCGAAAGGGGAAGGAAGTAGCCCCCCCCCCCTTTTTTTTTTACTACCATCAGACACAGGGGTAGCAGGTGAACATTTTACAATGATATAGAGCAAAATAAGATTCATTTTACAGAAATTCTATATAAATTTTCAGAAACATTTTGAATAAATTGAAGTACCTGTATTTAACATTACCAAGTACCTTTCATACTTAAAAAGAGTGAAAAGATAAGGTACCTTGACACAGTATTCTATAGTATTTTTCAGTGTGCTTCATATAAGCATAATGGGGATGGGTAAAAAACCTGGATAAAAAAAATAGTACTTGTGTTGTCTATTTCTCCAGACTATGGATAACTCTATATAGCCAACTAGATAGAATTAATGAATAGTGTAGTTCTGAATTCATGAGGTTATGATTTTTTAAAATTTGCTTAATAAGCCACTTTGGATGTGATATATAGATTTTAAGTTAATCCTCACCTGAGGATATTTTTCCATTGGTTTTAGAGAGAATGGAAGGGAGGGGGAGAGACAGAGAGAGAAACATTGATATGAGAGAGACACATCGATTGGTTGCCTTCTATATGCGCCCCAACCTGGGCCCAGGGATTGAGTCTGCAACCAAGGTATATGCCCTTTACCAGAATCAACCCGTAACCCTTCAGGCCACAGGCCAACACTCTATCCACTGAGCTAAATCAGCCAGGGCAGATGTGATTTTTAATATTGGTTTTTGTCTTTTATTTTCTTTTTGGTTATCCTCTTATTTATTGAAGTCATAATGTCATAGAAGCAATTTGTCTTATAAATATTTGATTAACAGATTTGTATCCAAATGGATTTACTACTTTTCAATTTTGTTCCTACTTGAAACGTTATACTGCATATTTCTCTAATAGTAGTAATGCATATAATTAGAGCAAGAAGTGTGTTTCAATACTTTTCAGTTGACTTGTTTAAATCTGAAGCAGAATTTTCTTTTAGGTGTGGCGATTCAGTACTGCATTTTGTTCTGTTAATGAATGGAAATTTGCTGACATCCTAAGCATGGCTGACCACTTGAAGAAGTGCAGTTACAATATTGTAGAGAAACGGGAGGAAGCCATCCCATTGCCATGCATGTGTGTGACTCGAGAACTCACGAAAGAAGGACGTTCACTGCGCTCAGTTTTAAAACCTGTACTTTAAAAACTGTAACTCCACTTGCACATACATGCAAGCACCTAGTATAATTTCTTTGTAATATGTGACACTTTATTAATGTATTAAAGATTACAACTAGCTAAATTTATTGTCACTGTGTATATAATGTTTTGAAGTGACATATATTTTTATAAAGTACTGTTTAGTTGGAAAAAAGTTGCCTTAATGTTTGAAATGTGTGAAATTTTTGGAACTTGCTGGACAGGGTGAACTAATTTTTTGCTACATAATTTTCAGAATTAGTATTTTTAATGGTGTGCAAATTTTGGTTCTTACATTTTTTGCTTCTTAAACTAATAAGATCCTGACCAAACATATTTCCTCATGTTTTTGTGGGTTGCAACCCATACATTCAAAAGCAAAATTTTGATTCACATTTTTGCACATAGGTTTTTCAGTTGAAAAATTCAGTTGCTTAAACATTGACATAAGATCCTTCTAAAGATTTTATATTCTAGTGCTCCCTTTATACAGTTGTTGACATGTAGATGGTCTCTAATATATACTTATATAATATTTAAAATTATGGTAATGCCATTTATTACATTTTAAAAATAATTCACAAAGATGTATTCACTGTAGGTATTTACAGCTCTCCTTCATAGAGTGGTTCATACACAACTTTCTTTTTATTAGATGCCACATCCAAAGACTGGCAACATATTATATGACAGGTTAAAGCAAAACAAACAAAAGGCCTGTGAATTTATTTTAATTTGAAGCTGTTCATGGTATTATTTGCTAGGTAGTTGATATTAGTAGAGAAGAAAATATACCTCATTTTAAGTTTGAATTGGGCATATTGTGTAAATAAATTTCAAGCATTCAGAATGCAAAGGGCTTCCCTTTTTTTATAAGTATTTAAAATTTTTGCTTTTTGATGTTTAAATAAAATCACAACTCTGTTGCTTTAAGACATTTAAAAATGTGAAATTTGGTATCTTTGTAAGATGACAATCTTGAAATGCAGAAACCTGTTGTGGTTGACAATCTCCTTAAAACAGTTCCAGTTTAATCTCCTATAGCCTTCTCTATCAAAAAAGTAAGAAGTGCATCTTTGTGTAAAGATCAAGGTACAACAGAAAAATATTCAAAGACCTATTCTTGAACTATTTTATTATAGCTTCCCAATTTATTAATACTATTATTAACCTGATGTGGTCAGTTTAAAAAATGAATGTATCAGTATTTAGAAACAAATTGCAAAGATGGGGACATGTATTTAAATAATTTGTTTTAAGTAACTTCTGGCATTTGGTAGTCTGAAATGGTGACAAGTTACCTTGTTATAAAATATCAAAACTCTATTGTATCTTTTCTTCCTACACTTGTCCCTGAGAGTGCTCTATTGTTACTATGTTCTTGATTCCCATATATGGCAATCAGGCTGGGCAGAGGCATTCCTTGGGCATTAGAAAAGAATTCTAAACTGTTTAAAACTTGTTTTGGTTGAATCAAGACCTTATTATTGTTGAAAGATATAGCACTAAAGTCTAATCAATTGTTTCACCTCACCTGTCGTTTTAATTAGTGGAATACTTATTTCTCAGTGCTTATACTTTCTTTTTCAACTGAGATTGAATGACATAACCAGTCTCTATTTCTGTGAAAACGTCAGAAATAAGATATCAAATAATATAACTCTGCCTTTTAAAGTTTTGTTGAAGAATGTGTCTGGTTAGGATAGCACAAACATTAAGTTTTTGTTTTATGGTTGTGCTTTTTAAAATCCTTGGGTTTTAAATTTAGACTTCTTGTTTCCATACTGGATCATGAGATATTTAACATTTTCCCACCGTTTAGTTCTTTTACACATCATTGGCTGTTTTCTTTTTTGTTTGTTATGCCACCATACTGTTTTGTTAAAATGTGTTCTTTGTGCAACATTTGTTCAAATTCTAATAAAATTAATATTTTCCCTATGTGGCTCAGTAACTTAAAAAGGAAAACTTTTATTTAAATAAAACTTAATACTTGTTTAACAAATTCCAAACGCAGTCATACTGTTTCTGTAGAGTATGTTTCTGCATGTTACAGGAACTGCTTGTTGATTATTACTCACCCATGTTTTACTGGTGAGCATTAAACTTCTTTTTTAATATGGAAAGTTTATCAGCTTTCTGTGCCCCCTCAGTGTCTTCTTGAAAGTAGTCCCACCTGTGGGGTATTGAAAGGCTGAAGAGTTTCTGGCATTATTATTTTTCTAAAACTTGTAATGGGCACAATTTATCTAGCCTTGTAAGCATGAAAAGATTTGTATGACATCCAAGTGAATTGTCATTTGAGAAGTCTTTGTTAGTCTTCGCTAACCATCAAGATAAAGTGGCAAGTGTAGGATGGAGAGAAATAATCTGAATTCACTTTTATCTGCTGTCTCCTTCCTCAGAACTGCCTGTTATTTTAGTTCCTTCCCTCCCTCCTCCCCTCTCCTTCCCCTCCCTCCCTCCCTCCCCCATAAACTCTGGGATTGGAGCCAGCAATCTGTTTTAACAAAAGACCTTCACGTGATTATGATTCACAGTAAAGTATGAGAACTTAGAGGAAAGACTGGAACATGCCAGCTGTTCTCTTGATGTGTTACTGGAGTGGGTAAATGTGTGTATGTACATACATGTGTGATCCAAAATTATGAGTTAATGGTTAAGTTAAATGATATAGTTGTGTTAATATTATAACCATGTGAGAAAATACATTGGGTACCATGGTTTTTGGACATTTTTAAAAAGTATTTACTATAATATTTTAAATTTACTGTTACTAGTGTTCTGTTCAAGGTAAATTGTAATGCAACTTACAGTTCATTAGCACTTACATTTAGCCTAGTTATCAATTTTTCTCTTGTTTAGTGGTTACAGAGTGATGTGAATGTATTAGATTTCTAGGATAAGTAAAGAGTGTAGAAGTAGATAAATACTGGATTAAATCCTACAAAAATATTTGTAGGAATCCTTTCAACCCTATCAATGAAGGATTTTAAAGGTTGAATTGTTGGTTTATCAATAGCATACAATCTTTTTTGGTCTTTGACCATGTGTTGCATACATAACCCCATCAATATTGTTGCTGTTTGCTATCCCTTAACATTGGGTATTGGGATCATAGTAACATTGAAGATAATGGGGTCAATAAAACTTTCATATTCTTTGAAGACAGGGTAGTTTTATTACTATATTGATAACAGATTTTTACCTCTGGTGGTTTGAATGCATTGTTTGGCATTTAGGAGCAAAACACATTTAAGTTTTGCATCTCAACTTAAGAATGGGGTTTATTAATTTTTAAAAATGTCTAAGGAGTAATTATGCAAACATAAAAAATGTGTGTGTTTCATGCATGACACCACATTAGAAGGTGATATGACTGGGTCCTGCAGAGGTGGGTGTTTAGAACTGCAGCAGAAGGAAAGCAATTGGCCCTCATTCTTTCAAAAGGCTGGACTAAGCTTCTGATGGAAAGAATTTCTTGGATATGTGTTTGGCTGATCAGCTAAATACTGTTCTAAGTAATCTTACTTAACATGCTCATGAGGCCTAGGAAGAGAATATTAGTTATGCCTTTAAACAAAATCAACTCATCAGTGAGTTAAAATAATTGTGTCCATTGTGTTAAAATAATTCAATATGGGTTTACTTAGGATTTGATCTAAATCTGATTTCAAACAAAAACATATGTAGAAGTAGAGGCCAACTCTAAAGGAGTAAACTTTCTAAATAAGGAAAGAAGAATGGTTTCTTTCTAAAGTCGCCTTCCGTGGAATTACTTTGATTTAAAGGATCAAAGTAAGTTCAAAAAGATGTTCTTTAAGTTTCCAATATATGGGTAGAAAACTGCGGCTCTCCAAGTTTAGGTATTGATGAGTGTGGAGGTATTTTGAGAGAAATGTGTCCCGGCATGGTTCATTTTTCTACTTTAAAAATACAGAAAGAGAAAGGACATTTAGATATAAGGAAATTACTTTGGAAAATATCGTTGCCTAGAATGTTTGATTCCTAATAAGTGTTCAGAAAGAGTTTTGGGTAATACCAAAAAGAAAAGTAGAAACTAAGTAAGGTATGTTGCTCTGAAAATCCTTTGCAAAAACTAGTGTCTTTTGCTGAAATTGTTTCAAGTATTTTATTGCACCTGTGAGTAGTAACATTCTATACATTGTTTATATGTATATTTATTTGCATGTATAATCTCCATAAATTGGCCAAGTAGATTTTAATACATCTTGAGATGTATTAATGGAGATACATCTTGAGGTGCTTTTTTCTAAATCTTAGAATGTTTGATGTTCCAATGTATTATGTGGGAAGTGACTTTTCATTAATTTAATGAACTACAAAGAAATAGGTTAAAAGGATGAGTTTTAAAATGCTTTATAGAAATACAGTAAAAACTCATTGATATGAATCTATTATATATTTTTTAAATATTTTTGACTTGCTGGACTGAAGTGAGTATTCTTTACTATGAAGAAAAGCATTTCTAAAGCAAACTGAAAAACAAGGGAAATATGTTTCTTTTTTCACTAACACCAATAAAATCTCAAGCACCCCCAAGTCATTATTAGTCCATTTGCATGCAAATAGGAGATGGTTCTTCAATGCATAGCTAGTTCTAGTGGTGGTAATAGTGTATGTGTTTGAAAGTAATAAAACAACATTTCTGTTGAATTATTTAAGATTGGCAAAATCATCAGGTCAAATTATTTTTTCCCAGTAAAAGCAGATAAATCAGGTTTAATTTTTTACCTTTTTCTAATATAAATTTAGAATTTTCTCAAGACAATATCCTTAAACAGATAATAGGTTGATATGTGTTGGTTCATTCCTTGGCAGAAGGGCTGACTAGTTAGATTTCTATACCAGTCAAAGAGTAACATTAACTGTTACATTATTATTATTCAGTGGTCTAATATAAGAACAGTAGCAATAATTTGTTATTGCTCAAAAGATTGAAGTTGAAAAAAGGAGACCCTGCCCTTTGCTATTCTCTAGATGCTTTTTTCATTGAAATCCCCCCCCCCATTAATTTATATTATTGCTTTTTATCCCATAACTTGAATTTTCTTACCAGGTGATCAAAAAACCTAGTTTTGCTAATCAGCCTGTGATTAGTAATTTTTGTCCATACGTTTACATTTTATTAAGTAACTTCAACTTCTTTTAAAGTATCTCAGCTCAAAAATTTGTAGTATGGAAAAATTGAAGTATCATTCAGGTTTAACCGTATTATTTGATTAAAAGAAACCAAACCATAGAAATGGAAGCCATCATGGGTACTGCATCCGGTCAAGAGTAGAACTATCCAGTGAATATTTAATTATGTCAAATGGATGGCTTCATATCAATTGATAACTTTTAAAAATTGTTACCTGTATTAGAGATTTGAAGTAAAGTGGAGAATGGTATTGATTCCCTACATTCCAATAGTTTTGTGATGAGAACTATGACATGAATTGCTTTGAATGATTAATAATTTGGTGGACATGAATTCTAAAGATTTTTATGTTGCATTTAAAATGTTAAAACTGTATTGTTCATTTGATCAGTGTTTAAGCACCAGTCAATCCTGAACACTTGAATTGCATTCTGAAAGGTAATTGCACTGACTCCTTTACTTACCTCAGAGGTCATTATATCTCTTTTTGATAATTTACATTAATAAGTGTTTTCTTCTTAAATGTGAATGGATATGGTTTTTCTTGAAAAAAGTATTAAGTGAAAAGCTAGAGACAAAAGGCCACATATTGTATGATTCCATTTATATGAAATACATATCCAGAATGGGCAAGTCCATGGAGACAAATCAGATTAATGGTTGCTAGGAGCTGGGGAAGTGACTGTTAATGGGTACTGGTTTCCTTGTGGTGATGAAAATATGCTAGAACCAGATAATGTGGATTGCACAACATTGTGAATTTTCTAAATGCCACTGAATTGTACAACTGTGACAGTAATTGGCTTCAATGTCAACGCTCATTTTTCACCTTTTACATTTTTTTATGATTCCTTGTGGCACATGTCAATTTAAAGGTCCGTATTTAATATCATGCTTTGAAAAAATTTATAAATAATTTTCAGGATTATTTTTATAGTTTTATACTTTGTTTTCCTTTTAAAGAACAAATACAATGATGTGTTAGATAAGACTAAATTAATAAATTGAATTACTGTATATATTTTGTATTCTTTTGTATTGTCTTGTGGGAAAAACATGTGAATTTTGGGGTTGGTAGGTACTTTAATGGCCATTTAGTTTCGCATTTTATATTTGGAGAAATTGAAGCTGAGTTTGTCAGGGTGTTCATTCAGCGAGTACTTATTGAGCATCCATGCCCTGCATTGTGTAGGCTTGGTTCTGGAAGGCTGTGACATGCCTAAGGTTACACAAGAATTAATGACTACTTCTTCCCTTTCCCCTTTCTCCCTCCCGCCTCTCCTCCTCCTCCTATGTATCTGGTAATTACATTAGATACATGGACAAATGGGCAATTTCCAGAGAAGGAGATGGTTTAGACAGAGATTCACCTTACATGGTTCTTCCCATAGCTCTCAGTAAAATACACATGACCACAAATAGTCTATTACTTGAGGAATGCTTTCATTAACAATTAACTGTACTTTCATGACTTTGGGAAAGAGGAAATTA